ACAAAGAATCCCAGGACCAATTCAAACCCTCCCAAGCACAAAACTGAAGTGGCCTGTGTCCTGGTTCCGTGTAAAAAGGGGTTCAGGGCAGGACCCACATGGAACAGAACTATGAACTCGCCTCTCCCCCCCCACCCCCGAGAGAGAGAGACACTTTGGAAAAAAAAATGAAGTATATTGTTCTACAAGGAACAGAAAACGAAAAAGGGAGGTAAGGAAAATAATACATACAAAGATTAGGGGAATAATACAAAAAATAAAATATACAAAACCCTCAGAAATGGTTCCAGGGTCCCACGGAGTGAAAGGACAACTTTCCTCTCCCAGCTCCAAGGCAGGAGTGAAATAAGAACCCACTCCCTGCCTCTTATCAGAGTGTGTGTGGGAAGGGGAGGGAATACAATGGTTTCACCCCCACCCGGGGTCCTCCCAGTTGCTGGAGTGTCACGACCCCATTCCAAGCCTCAAACCACAACAGCCTGTCTCGATTCCTCCTCAGCTCGCTCACTTCTTGCCTCCAATATTAAATGCCTCTAACAAATAAATGCTAAAGTGTTCATTCTAATCTCATTTAGTACATACAGGCAGAAGAGAACACTGCCTGCAGACTTGGTCACGTGTACAGCCTTGTGACTATGGTCCCTGGATCCTCTTCACTGATGCATTACACTAAGCCCACATACTTACATATCCTTAGCCAGAATAAGATCAAAAAGCACGCAAGGAGATGACATAGACGGGAATGACAAGGTAAAATAACCATAGATCTGTTCCACAAGCCTTCCTCAGTACCCCAAAGAAATTCCATTGTTTTATCGCACTCATAAAGGACACCGTTCACTCTGAAGCTCTACGAAACTATGCTTGTTAGTTACACAGGGCTGAGACCCACCTTCCCCCATCCAACCCCCCCCAGCTGGTTGTCACATTGCAGTAAATAGCTAAAGATCATCTCTGACTGAGAAAAATGAGCATGTCCTGTCACCTCACTATTTTCACACTGAGAGTGCATCCAATCATCCTTTCAATATATCCAATGGCATCCTCTGACATTATGCAGCAAGTGTAATTACAGACCATGTCCCCGTACAAACTAGTCTAGGGACATCACCAAAACAAACTCTAGTCATTCCTGATAGTCTCCAGACAGAAGTCAAGAAGAAATTCCAGCATAAAAAATTTTATGGAGCCCACTTAACACTGTAAACTCTCAGAGTTATTACTTACAGAAACCACAGGTACAGAACATTTTTCTACTTTCTACACTATTATAGTTCAATTTATTTGGTGTTTTTTTTTTTCTAGCACAGCTTTAATTCTTAAAACAAAGACATCCACTGAGTGGAGCTAATGTCAGCTTTTCATAGCTCAGCAGTCACAGTCTCATCAGTTCTTTTTCTATTTCTAAGACTCTTACACAAATTGCTATTTTAAAAGTATGAACTGAAGCGTTTAAACCATAAGCAGTTTCTTAGTTCAAAGTAAGCTTACCCTTTAAAATTCTAAGAAAAAACAGTACAAGCTGTGATGTAGCTGTGTTTCAACAGCCAAATATAACAATAGCTAAAAACTGGGTTTCTAATGAAAAATATTTTTCCACCATACCTTAGGTGTTAGATCAGATCGCTCTTGAAGCTTATATGTCTTGGAGAAAAGAAGTCTGATTATCCATACAATTAGAATTCCTTCCAAAATGAGATGGTAAGCGGGAGCCTGAAAACAAAAGCACAAAAATAAGCACAAACAGAATTTTGAATTATAAACTGTGTGACACTATGCAACACTTTAGTCTCTATTAGTACACTCAGAAAAAAACTAAAACTGATCATCATCTGGTACCTATTTCTAAATCAGTAAAAGTTACAATCATATGAATGTGGATTGCTTTGCAACTACTACCTGTAGCTATTAACTTGAATTTGAATGGCTTTGTTCTCTTGTCAATAAACCAGGCACACTCTAAAATGATAAGCAGTTTCAATTCCACACTTTCACATAAACTGAGTATTGAGAGCAAAGGCAGGTAAACTCTACAGGCTGCATTGGTATCTGTGAAGGCAGAAAGCTTTCACAACAAGCAGAAGCCGCCTGAGAGCCTGAAGATCTGTCATCTATACACACCCACTTCAACCCTACAGTCTTCTAACTCACAGTCCACCAGCAGCAACAGCTACTATTACGTAAAAAGAAACCTAACCCTATCCTCAAGAGACCATTTTTTGTTAGTTTCAGTCACTTTGAGCAGGTGTAACCCAGCACAGTCACCAGAAGCAGTTTTGTCCCCTGTGCAGTCATAGTACTTAGGAATATACAGGGCAAACCAAAACAAAGAGTTGATCCAATTTAGCCTCTTTGGGTGCTTGGAACGAGGAAAGTCAGTTTCCTCTGGCAGCACAGCTAGTACAAAGTACATGTGGAGTTAGGGCATTAGCATCTGAGATCTAGTTTTAATGACAGCCTTAGTTACTCCATTTCAGAAAGGCTCCGGTCTACACTGTGGGTGTCTACTATGTCTAAAGGGCTCAAAGTGGACACACACTAGTGTATTCCCTCTTCCACTTAGAGGAGGAGCTCCTACACATCATCATTTTCTGTCTGCCAACAGAGCAAGTAGAACACCCCACACGTTGGGACACTAAAGGAAATTGAACACAAAGTTTATAAAACCAGTAAGGAATCCTACGGTAAATCCAACAACAAACAGCAAATTTATCATTTGCATAGACCTACTCAGTTAACCAAACATATTAAGAGCACAGACATACATCATGGCATCCAAGGAACACACAGTTCCACAACCGAGCAATAGAGGTCCACACAAACTACTTCTGTGTGTTGTTCAGTACCTACAACTAACCCGAATTCAGTGTACTATACCCTGCTGCCAGCTTCAGCTAAGCACTTCTGTATTTGTACTGTAAACTCCAGTATACGTTCTTGAAGCTACCAACCTTTCCGAAAACAAGGGAGGGAAACAGACTGTTGATACAAGAACACCGCCTGCCATCAGAACACCTATTTGGATATCATGAACCAAATCCTGGGTACAAACACGCCACGCCGATCCCCTCCAGGAAACAACTCGAGCCCAAACATTTAAAAGTTGTTTCTTTCTCTGCAAATAATACTTGCAAGCC